GCCAGCCGGCTGACCTGCTCCGCGCTCTGGGGCCACACCACGGCATCGGGGGGTTGGCACCTAGGGGACGGTACCCAGGTCAGGTCCCCGCAGGGGCACAGAACGCCTGAACTCTGGGCTGGGCGCTGTCCCGCAGCTCTTCAGCTCAAGGCCCGCGCTCCACCGCTAGAGCCACAGCGCCACTTCCAGTCCTCTGGTTTCCCGGACTTTCCTGCCCGGGCTGGCTTTGAACCGCGATCCTGACAGATCTCAGCCTCCTGAGTAGCTGGGATGACAGGCGTGAGCCACCTGAGAACGCCTTTCTGCACGGAGCACCCCAAAACAGCTGCCGAGGGGCGCGGCCCAGGACTGCCCTCCCCGCCCCCAGCCCCCGGTCCCCGGTACCTGTGCACAGACTCGTCTTGCCCATGGTGCTCGCGGACGGCGGCAGCAGTGGACACGTGGGGGTCCCCCACAACTATCTTCAGAGCCTCCACGAAGCTCGGGCTGAGCTGGCCCTGCAGGGGAGAGACGGTGTCACAGGAACGGGGGGCTCCACCCCCGCGGGTCAGGCGTCTCAGGACCCTGGGAAACTCGGGACCCGCCCAACCTGCGACCCCCGGGAGCAGTAGCCCCTCCGGGGGAACAGCCCCCAGGTGGCGGCCCGGAGCCAGGCCATGGCCGGTCGGCAGCCGGGTTCGCAGTCCGCCGAGGACTGGTGACCAACACGGCCGCCTGGCTCCGCCCGCTGGCTGCGCGCCGGAGCCTGTTTAAGGTGGTGCGAGTTTAAGGTGCCCCCACCCCCTCCACCCCGCAGACAGATCTCGCTGGGTCAGGGACAGCTGGGACGCCAAGGTCAACACCAGCTTTGGTGGCTGGTGGGGTACGGGGGGGAGTCCTGGGCCGTGCCCCTCTGCAGCTGTTTTGGGGTGCTCCATGAAGAAAAAGGTGTTCTTTGGGGGCGCCTGTAATCCTAGCTACTCAGGAGGTTGAGATCTGAGGATCACGGTTCAAAGCCAGCCTGGGCAGGAAAGTGTGAGACTCTCCAATTAACCACCAGAAAACTAGAAATGGTGCTGTGGCTCCAGTGGCTCGCCTTGAGGGACAGCACTCAGGCCGAGTTCAAGCCTCACGGCCAAGAACAACAAAAATAGCTCTTAAGAGGCTAAATCTCATACTTAACATAACCACAGTAACTATTTCTCATCTGGTAGAGAAATAATGTGATGCACAAATCTTTTTTTGTAAAAAAAAAAAAATCTTTTTTTGTGTGTTGTTTCTGGTGCCAGACCTGGAGCTTGAACTCAGAGCCCTGGCTCTGACCCTAGGCTTTCTTCCTCGAGGCTAGCACTCTACCACTTGAGCCATACCTCCACTTCCAGTCTTTTTAGGTGCTTAATTTGCAATGAGAGTCTCATAGACTTTCCTGCCCAGGCTGGCTTTGAACAGAGATCCTCAGATCTTAGTCTCCTAAGTAGCTAAGATTATGGGGTGAGCCATATATATTTTTTTTAATATTGTTGATTCTTAGGCCCACATCCCTCCTTGAACTCAGTAATGTTTACATGACCAGCACCTGCTGAAGAAGGATGTCATAACAGTAGTATGACTTGCGTTAATATATTGTAATATCAAAAACAAATTTACAGCTGGACATAATGGTATACACCCTTATTTCCAGCACTCAAGAGGCAGAGGGAGTAGGATTGTGAGTTCTGGGCTAGCCTGGGCTATACACGAAAATCAATCTCAAAAAAACTGTATCAGCCATGCACTGGTGGCACATACCTGTAATTCTAGCTACTCAGAAGGCTGAGGATCCCAGCTTCCAGCCCTAGCAGAAAAATCTATAAGACTCATCTCCAATTAACCTACAAAAAGCCAGCCAGAAGTGGAGATGTAATTCAAGTGGTATAGAGCCAGCCTAAAACAGAAAAAAGCCAAGCAAGAGTGTGAGCCCCCGAGTTCAAGCCCCAGAACCAGCAGAACAAAAAGTGCTATGTCAGCTATTACTTTATTGAAAACAACACAACTCAGTGGCTTGACACTGTAAACATTCACTCTGGTTCATGGGTCCAAAGGTCAGATAGATCCTCCCATTCTTGGCTAGATTATTATCCTGCATAGATAATGTTCACCTGGAGGCCTATATCACTCAGAGAGTTTATACTCACAATGTTATTTATGGAAGCCATGAGTAAAAGGATAAACAGACATGATAAGAGCCAAGGAAGGGAAATCCTGACGCAAGCTACAACATGGTGAACCATAGGGAGCTTATACTAAGTGAAATAAGCCAGTCACATAAAGGCAAATATACTATATTGGTTCCATTTATGTATGGTACTTAAAGTAGCCAAAAACCATACAGGCCATTGAGTGTGGTAGTGCACACCTGTAATGCCATCACTCAGAAGGCTAGGCAGCAGGATCCCAAATACCAGGCCAATCTGGACTATGGAAAAAAAAAAAAAGCCAACTGGCTCATGTCCATGATCCTAGCTATTCAGGAAAAAGCTGAGATTTGAGGATTGCAGTTAAAGCCAGATAAATCAGAGACCCTTATCTGTGATTAACCAGCAAAAAGCCAGAAATAGAGGTGTAACTCAAGTGGCAGAGCACCAGGCTTGAGTGAAAAAGTGAAGTGAGAGTGGAAGGCCCTGAATTCAAATTCCAGTACTAGCAAAAAAAAAAATCCTTTGAAAACTTGATGAAGAGAAGGGAATCACTGCTAATGGAAAGTAAGTATGTTCGAAGAGAAGTAACATTCAACATGCTAGGAAAAAGAGCAGACAACCATTAGCGTTCAGTGTAGATGATGGAGAAAAAGGCACTGTGAAATCCTAGTAGAAAAAAAATAGAAAAAGTAAAAAGGAGCATTTCAGTAAAATACACACTATTTTTCTTTTTAAAAAATATAATTTTAGGGCTGGGAAGGTGGCTCAGTGGTAGAGTGCTTGCCTTGCATGCCTGAGGCCCTGGGTTCGATTCCTCAGCACCACATAAGCAAAAAGAAAAAAGCCGGAGTGGTACTGTGGCTCAAGTGGTAGAACACTGGCCTTGAGCTGAAGAGCTGAGGGACAGTGCTCAGGCCCAGAGTTCAAGCCCCATGACGGACAAAAAAAAAAAAAAAGATGCACAGAGGAGTTACCATTTCAGAGGAGTCATTTCTGCAAGAGGTTCTCCCCCTCCCTCCAAGATTAAGAGTCTTTCTTTCTTTTAATGGGAAGGTAGTGTTTATGTTTAATTATGTTCATGAGAATGAAAAAGTTCTGGAGATGGATGATTGAGGTGGTTGTGCAACAATACACTGTGTTTTAAAAAAATATATCTTTTTTTTTTTTATTCCTAAGGGAAAGTAATAGAAAATAGCATAGTTTTGAAATTTTCGAAAATTCTTTAGAAACACTGTCCATATACAAAGTACTTAATAGTGTTATGCATAAAATGGTTAGAAGAATGTGTGTGTGTGTGTGTGTGTGTGTGTGTGTTGTAGAGTTCTCATCTGTACATTTCAGGGCTTAGTCTCTTGAAAATATTCATAGTTTTTACAAAGTAGAGCACACTTTCCATATTTTCATATCTATGATTTCTATTATTTTCTCAGTTAAGTAGACCCCTTCCCCCATGTAGTTAGTAAACATCATTTTCAATGTCTCTTCAATCTTACACACCTATCATCACATTACTTACCTCTGCTGAAAGCTTCTTAGATGTTTCTAATATTAAGGACTGGGCTATGGCTCAAGTGGTAGAGTGCCTGCTTTGCCTCGAATATTTCCAGTGTTTTGCCACATAAATGGCTAAGTGAAGTGCATTCTTGTATACATATCTTTTTTTTTTTAATGCGCTGGGTAGGAAGTAGTGCTGTGGCTCAAGTGGTAAAGTGCTAGCCTTGAGCTGAAGAGCTCAGGGACTGTGCCCAAGCCCAAGGTTCAAACCCCACGACTGAAAAAAAATTCAGACATATAGAGCTGGGTATATACAACAGTGGAAGGAAGATTATGCTGTTCTAAGAAGAAGTGAACTATCAAACCATAAAAAATGATATGGAGAAAAATGCATATTGAAAGAACATTACTGTCAAAAAAAATGTCTAAGGTTGGGGATGTGGCTTAGTGGTAGAGTGCTTACCTAGCATGCATGAAGCCCTGGGTTCGATTCCTCAGTACCACATAAACAGAAAAAACCATAAGTGGTGCTGTGGCTCAAGTGGTAGAGTGCCTACCTTGAGCTGAAGGACAGCGCCCAGGCCCAGATTCAGGCCCCACAGCTGACAAAAAGAAAAAAGAAAAAAAAAGTATGTGAGTGACATTGTCTAAAAGAGAAATATATGCATTACTTTAATTGTGAAATGTTAACCCTTCTGCACAACACTTTAATAAAAACAATAAAATCGTATTAAAAATTAGGAATTACACAATTATATTCGGAAAGGTAATACTTGCCTTCTTGGGCGTATTTTTTTTTTGGGGGGGGGTCCGGTCGTGGGGCCTGTACTCTGGGCCTGGGCACTGTCCCTCAGATCTTCAGCTCAAGGCTAGTGCTCTACCACTTGAGCCACAGCGCCACTTCCAGCTTTTTTCTTTTTGCTTATGTGGTGCTGAGGAATGGAACCCAGGGCCTCATGCATGCGAGGCAAGAGGCAAGCTCTCTACCACTGAGCCACCTTCCCAGCCCCCTTGGGGATATTTTCATAACAAATAGATTACTTGCGTGTGTGTGTGTGTGTGTGTTTTGAGACTCACTTTTGAGAAAGAAATGGGCGGCAATTCACAACCCCTACTGAGAGAAATAAACATTTCGGGCCAAGATGGTCTTTGAGAAGAGCTCATTCCACTCCGTAGACTTTGCAGAGCGTCCCTAACGGTGCAGCTCGGAGGCTTGTGGGAAATGTAGTTCCGCGGCCAACAGGACGCCGCTGCGAGGACCCTGGGCGCGCAGCCCTGACGTCTGCGCATGTGCGGCGCGCCGAGCGGCGTCTTCCCTCCCTCCCCCCCCCACCCCAGGCTGAGAGTGGGTGACGAGACCCCCTCGTCCGCGCGTCTTCGCTGCCCCACGCCGTGGCCCAGAGCCGCGGAACCACGAGCTGAGGCCCTGCCCTTCCAGGTAGGAAACGACGCTATCAGGAGGCTTGACGTGGCCTGCGGCCCAGGGGCCAGAGATGACGGGTGGGTTCCTGCCCGGGCGGGTGGGAGCCCAAACTTCGGTTGCAACCACGGAGGCGACGTCCGGGGCCGCCCCGGTCCTCCTCCGGGCGGAGCCCGCGGGGTGGGCCTCGCGGTGGTACGGGGACGGCGGCGTGGGCGCGGGCGGCGGCCGGGCCTCCCGGCCTCCCTTTGTCAGGAGACGAGCCTGCGACCCACGGTGAGCCTCCGCGGCCGCGCGGGAACGAGCCCGGAAGTCCCGGGGCGCGCACGCGGCCGGACCTGCGGGGCGGGGCGGGGCGGGGGCGGGGCCTGCCGCGCTGGGCCACGCCCCGCGAGCCACCTGCCGCAGCCTGGTGCCTCTCCAGGTAGAGGGGAAGCCTCCGCAATCCTCCAGACGCGCAGTGAGCTGGAGCCCCCCGCTCTGTCCACAGGGTTTTCGGTCGTGTCTTCTAATCTTCACATCCAGCCAGTGTCTTCCGGTATGGTCATCGCTAGAAAGGCTCAGAAGGGGGAAGTGATTCACCTGAGGTCAGCCAGCCAGCTGCCACTTCATGTTACCTGACAGCGAATTGTTTTTCCTTTTGTCTTTTGTCTTGGCCTACTGGTGGTTTTCATACGTTTGAAATTTTCTCCCTGGGTGAATTCGCTGTTTACTCCTTATAGGGCACCCTGAAGACTATAAACAACTTTGTGATTTTACAAGTTTTCCCATGGACTGGGAGTATAGGCAGAGAACTTGCCTAGCATGGAAGAGGCCTTGCGTTTGATGTAGCATGGAAGCCAAGAAGGTTTCCCAAGGATTCAAAAGTTTGGAAACTTTGGAACCAATTGCATTCTTTTTAGACGGTTAGCTTATTGTTGTTGTTGTTATATTATTATTATTTTGTCAGTCGTGGGCTTGAACTCGGCCTGGGCACTGTTCCCAGAGCTCTGTTGCTCAAGGCTCATGCTCTACCACTTTGACCCATAATGCCACTTCTGGTTTATTGAGTGGTTAATTGGAGATTAGAGTCTCATGGGAACTTTTCTGCCCAGGCTGGCTTTGAACTGTGGTCCTTAGCTAACTCAGCCTCCTGAGTAGTTAGGATTACAGTTATGAACCACCAGCACTTGACTGACTGTTAACTTTTATTGTGATTCTATTAATGGTTACATTAAGGGTACTATTAAGTCATTTCAGACAGGCTGAACTTTAGTCCTGTTCTAGGTGTCAACCCCATAAAAGGCAGTGGGGAAGCATTTTCTTCTCTCTGTGACTCTGTCTGTCTGTCTCTCTCTCTCTCTCTCTCTCTCTGGCATTTGGCCTGGGGTTTGAGCTCATGAATTGGGTGCTGTCCTTGAGCTGTTTTGCTCACTTGAACTACAGTTTCCACTTTTTTTGGTGATTAATTGGAGACAAGAGTCTCATGGAGGGCTGGGAAGGTGGCTCAGTGATAGTGTGCTTGCCTTGCATGCATGAGGCTCTCGGTTTGATTCCTCAGCACCATATAAAGCAGAAAAGCCTGGAAGTGGCGCCATGGCTCAAGCCGTAGGGTGCTCGCCTTGAGCTAAAGAGCTGAGGGACAGCACCAAAAAAAGAAAAAAAGAGCCTCATGGACTTTCCTGCCTGGGCTGGCTTTGAACTGCAATCCAATCGGCCTCCTGATTAGCGAGGATTAGACATGAGCTCCTAGTGCCCAGTTTAGGAATTATTATTTTGTCAGATGGTATATAGAGATTTCTTTTTTTTTTTTTTTTTGGGTCCAGTCGTGGGGCCTGAATTCTGGGCCTAGGCACTGTCCCTCAGCTCAAGGCTAGTGCTCTACCACTTGAGCCACTTCCGGCTTTTTTCTTATGTCGTGTTGAAGAATCGAACCCAGGGCCTCATACATGCAAGGCAAGCGCTCTACCACTGAGCCACCTTCCCAGCAGTATGTAGAGATTTCTTTTTTTTTTTTTTTTTTGGTCCAGTCGTGGGGCCTGAACTCTGGGCCTGGGTGCTGTCCCTCAGCTCTTCAGCTCAAGGCTAGCACTCTACCACTTGAGCCACAGTGCCACTTCCGGCTTTTTTCTTTTTGCTTATGTGGTGCTGAGGAATCGAACCCAGGGCCTCATGCATGCAAGGCAAGCGCTCTACCACTGAGCCACCTTCCCAGCCCCTATGTAGAGATTTCTAAAACAAACATTCCATGAATATGAGGCAGGTCAGTTCTTCAATAACATGCCTTCCTTTTTCTTCTGTTCCAGTTCTGTCTTCGTAGTTCTCTGTCTTTACACCCAAACTGCAGAAATGAACAAAATGAGCAAATCCCAGGTGAGTTGTTTATTCCCTCTTTTTAAAAAAATATTGCATTTGTGGAAACTTACGTGGATCAAAAAATGAGGTAGAAAAGTATGAACGAGTTAGACTTAAGGAAAACACTAAAATAAGTGGTTGATGCCAGCCGTTGGTTATCCTTGCTTCTGTCTGTTAGGCCGTTTTCACTGGAGGACGGCAGTGTCTCACTGTGATTTGCAGGACCCTGATAGCCTGTAACGTTGAGCATCTTTTCATGATTATTTGCTATCTGTACATCATCTCTGGTGAAGTGTCTGTTCGCAATTTTTTGCCCATTACTTAATTGTTTATTTTCTTATTTTGAGCTTTAAGAGTTATTTGTATATTTAGATGCTAATGATTGTTTTTGGGGTTTGTCTTTGCTTTGGGGTTATTCTTTGCTTTGTTGTCTGTGTTGGCCTGGCACCAAGATCCTCCCAATCTCAGTGCCTCAATCAAACGTAGCTGGGATGGTAGGCATGTACCACCACACTCGGCTATCTGTTGAGAAGGGTCTCGCACACTCCTATTGTCAGCCTCCCATGAAGATAGGATCGCACGCTTGAGCCACCCGCACCTGGCTTAGGGTATTTTATTTTATTTATTTTTCTTTTTTTTTAAATTTAATTTAATTTTATTTGTGAACATACTGTACAGAGGGGTTACAATTACATGGGCAGGATAATGCATACATTTCTTACCAAGCATTGCATCCTCCTCCTTTGTTTACCCTTCACATCCCTTCCCAGCCTCCCCCCTCCCCCCCCATGCTTAGGGTATTTTAAATATTTTTTTCCCCTCAAGTTATAGTAGATGGTATTAGAGAAAAGAAATAACTCCGGTATTGCTGGTGATAGCTTTGCTGGTAGCAATCTGACAGTACTTAAGAGCAAACCTAGACAAGTCTAGCTGTGTCTAAATATTTTTCAAATGAGTGTTCAAGTCTCCAGGAGAAGATGAGCAGAGTAAAATCTCTGGTCATAGTTTAGCTCCAGCTTCCCGAGTTTGCAGCAGCGCATTTGAGGAAGTCATTGGCAAGGTCATAAGAAACATATGGAAACATAAGGCTCAGCGCAGTTGGTCCATCTGGCAGGTCAAAGTGTGGCTCGAGTATTGGGTGTGTGACAGGAATGTAATCAGAGGGAGGGGGATGCTCTGTATTTTCTGCTTGGTCCACTGCCACCTCCCAAGAGTAGATGAGAGCAATACAGTTTTGTGGGGGGAAATGAATATCTTCATCTGCTCCAGGGCAGCCTGGTGTGGTGGGAGAGACAGATGTGAGCACGGTGTTCAACATAAAGCAGCCCGAGTGCAGACAGAATCTGGCTGAGGCTTGCCCCGCATCTGCCCTCGCGTGAGGAGGAGGAGCATAGAGGCAGCAAGTGGCCTTTTCTTTTAACTTTGTGTTCTCGACTCACTTCCTACTTGAACTGATTCTGCAAGTTCCGACCCACATGCCACAGACTGTATCATGGTTGTCAGAGGCATTATTTTCTTCCAGTGTTATGACACAGAAAATGCAAATGCACAACCATTAAGACATGATAGTAAAGTGCACCTTGGTAGCACATGAGTGAGCTAAGAGGACTGAATTTGATCTAAAGTGCAGTAACTTCCCACCTGGGAGGGGAACTCAAAGCGAAACCTGGGGTGCCTGTCTTCCCAGTGCTCTACATGCCCAGCCTACCTGTAAATGTGTCAGGACATTCCCCCTCTCCCCTCCGTACCAGGGTTCGAACTCATGACCTATGCTTGCTTACTAGACTAGTACTTTACCACTTAGCCACACCTCTAGCCCAGCATTTTACTGGTTATTTTGGAGATGGAGTCTCCCAGACTTTTCTGCCTGAGTTGGCTTTGAATCTCGATCCTCAGATCTCAGCCTCCTGAGTAGCTGAGTTTCCAGACTTGAGTCACCAGTGCCCTGTTGTTACAGTGTCTAACTTGGTAACAGACCTCAGATGCCTGCTTTTGAATCACCCTGTTCCAGTTTATGCTAGAAGTAATTTGATGTGATTAGAGAATTACCATTTTTCCTTCTCCTTTTTTTTTTTTTTTTGTCATGGGGCTGAACTCTGGGCCTGGGCTCTGCCCCTCAGCTCTTTAGCTCAAGGCAAGTGCTCTACCACTTGAGCCATAGTGCCACCTCTGGTTTTCTGATATTTTATTGAGATAAAGAGTCTCACGGACTTTCCTGCCCAGGCTGGCTTTGAACCACGGTCCTCAGATCTCAGTCTCCTTATCCTTAGTAGCTAGGATTGCAGGCGTGAGCCACCGGCGCCCTGCCCATTCTTCCTTCTCTTACACTTTTTATTTTTTATTTTTGGCAGATCCTGGAGCTTGAACTCAGGGCCTGGGCTTTGTCCTTGAGCTTTTGTGCTCAAGGTTAGTGCTTTACCACTTGAGCCACAGCTCCACTTCTGGCTATTATAGTGGAGACAAAGTCTCAGGGACTTTCCTGCTGTGGTTGGCTTCAGACCACAGTCCTCAGATCTCAGTCTCCTGAGTAACTAAGATTACAGGCGTGAGCCATTGGCGCCTGGCTCTCTTGGAAACTCTTTGTAGGCATTTCTTGTAGCTCTCTTATATTAAGTTCTGTTTGCCCTTCTCATGCTGTTGTTCTTTGGAGATTACTGTATTATGGGAGTGCATTAGGTACATTCTTTCTAACTTCTTATGTGTTTTTCCTGCATGTGGTATACACTGAATATTGTTCTTTACGGGATTCATACTTGTCCTTCTCATGCTTCCGCTAGCGTGCTGGCTGTTACTTCATGAGATGACTAAAATTTGTGACCAGTAAAGCCAGTCTCTCACCTTCGGAGTGAGGAGGGGTTATGTGGCATCCAATAAGGGAGTCATATTACAAGAATGTTGTTGGAGTTCTATTTAGGTCTTGATCTTTGTCCATTTCTGACTTCATGTTAAATTGATGGCTCATGCTTGTAATCCTAACTACTTAGGAGGCTGAGATCTGAGGATCATGTTTTGAAGCCAGCTGGAGCAGGAAATTCAGTGAGACTCTTATGTCCAATTAACCACCAAAAAGCCAGAATTGGAGGTGTGGGTCAAGTGGTAGAGTGCTAGCCTTGAGTACAAAAGCCCAGGGACAGTGGCCAGATCCTAAGTTCAAGCCCCAGGATCCATGCATGTTAAATTAACTCCTGTAAGATATACATTTGAAGGACTCTAGGTTTCCACTCTCAGCCCCCCGAGTGCTGGGATTACTGGCATGCACTACCATGGCTGCTTTACTGTGTTCTCTCTGCGCCACCTCAGCTTGAATCATGTGTCATTTCAGGGCTCGGTTTCGTTCACGGACGTCACTGTGGACTTCAGCCAGGAGGAGTGGGAGCGCCTGGACCCCTCGCAGAGGATCCTCTATATGGATGTGATGTTGGAGAACTACAGCAACTTGCTGTCCGTGGGTAAGTGCGGCCCTGGGCGTCGCTCCCTGTCTGCCAGGCAGCACTCTGTCCTTTCTCAGCTACCAAAAACCAGGAGCTTCAGAATTACTGAGTGTTGGCCTGTGTCTTCGCGTGTTGAGGCTGAGTGAATCCAGCCTCTGGAGTTCTACCTTCTTTATTCACCAACTGCTTAGACAGCAGGAACCAAAGTACGTGTGATTGGAACAACCAAAAGCTGTGGATAGTGTAGTTAAAATGACCAACGCAGGCTGGTCCGTGGCTCACGCCTTATCCTAGCTGCTCAGGAGGCTGAGATCTAAGGATCACAGTTCAAAGCCAGCCCAGGCAGGAAACTGTGAGACTCTTATTGCCAGTAAACCACTCAGAAAACCAGAAGTAGCGCTGTGGCTCAAGTGGTAGTACGCTCACCTTGAGCTGAAGAGCTGAGGGACAGCATCCAGGCCCAGAGTTCAAGCCCCATGAATGACAAAAAAAAAAGAATGACCAGCTCAGAACTTTCTAGGGATGATCTGAAAAGAAGGGAAATGAGAGAAACCGTAGAAATGATATCAGATATCACTTAGGAGCAAGTTGGTATCTTCAAAATATTTTCTAGAATGTAGTTTGTGGCAAAGTGTAGTGGTGCATGCCTGTAATCCTAGCTACTCAGGAGGTGGAGATCAGGAGGACTGCAGTTCAGCCCAGGCAAAACATTAGTGAGATCTCATCTCAACAAACAAGGCAGGAGTGATGCTTCATACCTGTATTCCCAGTTACACAGAAGGCTTAGTCATGGTCTCAAGCCAGCCATGGGCAAATGTGAAACTCTACTGGAAAAGTAGAAGCAAAATATGCTCTGTAGAGTTAAGCTCTGAGTTCAAACTCTAGTACTACAAAATAGAAAAAAATTAGTTTTAAAATCCCAACATCTTCAGAGGCCACTGAAGACAGAGGGCTTTTGCCGCTCGTGGCCATGCCTCCAAATGTCAGTCTGTCCTTGCTCAACTTTCTTCCCTGCTGCAGATACTTAACGTGGTGTGATGAGGTACTCTTTTCTTCTCTTTTTTTCTTGCCAGTACTAGGGCTTGAATTCAGGGCCTGGTTGCTCTCCCTGAGCCTCTTTGTGCTCAAGGCTAGTGCTGTACCACTTGAGTTACAGCTCCACTTCCAGCTTTTTCTGAGTAGTTTATCCACTTCCCTGGGCTGGCTTCAAACGGCGATCCTCAGATCACAACCTCCTGAGTAGCTAGGATTACAGGCGTGAGCAGTGGCACCTGGCTTTGTGAGCTGCTCTTTAGTTGTATTTTTTGGCTTGCCAGAATAGTGACTTTCATATTTTAGCTCATGGGAATTGGTTGAGATGAGCAGAGGTTTAAAAAAGGGGAAAGAGCCAACATATGTGCCATTAACGCGGGTCCCACCACAACGGGGTAGCCCCGCACCAGTCACTAGCCCTGACCCGCCCAGCGACTCCGCTTCACATCTCCACCTGCTTACTCTCTTGGTCTCTGTGCCGTTCCGTGTCCCTGAAGACACTAAGTCCTGCCGTCCCTGGAGTCGCCAGTCTTTCTACGTCCCTGGCCTGCCCACTTCAACCCAGGGCCTTGCTCATGCCTCAGCCCCTTTTTATTGTATTTTTATTTTTTTGGGCCCGGTTGTGGGGCCTGAACTCTGGCCCTGGGCGCTGTCCCTCAGCTCTTCAGCTCAAGGCTAGCACTCTACCACTTGAGCTACAGCTCCACTTCCGGCTTTTTTTCTTTTTGCTTTATTGGTGCTGAGGAATCGAACCCAGGGCCTCAGGCATGCAAGGCAAGCGCTTTACCACTTGAGCCACCTTCCCAGCCCCCCATTTTTTTTAAAGGTACAATAGAAGGTTTTATTTTTTGTTGTTGTTGTTTTGATTTTTTTTTAATTTTTTTATTGTAAAGATACTATACAGAGGGTTACAGTTACATGAGTGAGGTAATGAGTACACTTCCTCTTGAACATTGTTACCCCCTCCATTGTTTTCCCCCTACCATCCCCTCCCTCCCTCCCTTCCCGGAGGTTCTTTTTTTTTTTTTTTGATTGTGATTAGGTGATTACATAATTTCCGGAAATTCACAGTATTGTGGAATAATGATGCTCATTTAAAGTCACAAGTTCATTCTAACTTTCCTGGAGCAAACTGTCTATCACAGTCTGTAATATATAACGGTGCTCACATGTTATATACCATATATGTGATCAGCAGCATGCCAGCCCCCCATTTTTATTTTTTAATTTTGTTTTTGTTTTTTATCCACTTTAAGGTCATTTTGTCATCTGGCAATGCTATATATGTCCATTGTCAGTTTTTCCTTTTTTTTTTTTTTTGCCACAACCTTTTATGTTTTTGTCTTTTCAAAGTTTAAGAGTAAGAAAAAGATGGCACCAGGGATGTTTTCGTGGTGGGAGAGAGCTATTCATCTGATAGATCAGAAAGATAGACTGTTCACAGAGACTCCACTGTGAAATGGGGAGGGGCTGACTAGTGTGTTTCTTTGTGCTCCATCCTAGAAGTGTGGAAGGCCGATGAGCAGATGGAGGGGGACCCCAAAACCCCAGACGAGCAGGCAAGGCAGTTTCTAATCCTCAAGAACCAAACCCCAGTCGAAGAAAGGGGTTATCTCTTTGCAAAAACATTTCATCTGAACACTGACAGTGTGTCTTTGAGCCAAGTGCCCTATAAATACAGTGGATATGAAAAGGCTGCGCCGTGCCGCTCGGACCTGCTTCGGGACCGGAGCTACGCGGGCAAGGACGATGAGTGCAGCGGTTTTGGAAAATCGCTCCTCCGTCTGAAGCAAGAGAAACCCCAGTCTGCGGCAGAATACGCAGAATATAATAAAAGCACCAAAGCCCTCAGCCCTAAGGAAGTGATTTTTAAGCATCAGAAAATGAAGAACTTGGTTCAGCCTTTCGTTTGCAATTACTGTGACAAGACCTTCTCGTTTAAGTCGCTCCTCGTTAGTCATAAGAGAATCCACACTGGGGAGAAGCCGTATGAGTGCAACGTGTGCCAGAAGACCTTCTCCCACAAGGCGAACCTCATCAAGCACCAGAGAATCCACACCGGGGAGAAGCCCTTCGAGTGCCCCGAGTGTGGCAAGGCGTTCACCCACCAGTCCAACCTCATCGTGCACCAGAGGGCGCACATGGAGAAGAAGCCCTACGGGTGCGGAGAGTGCGGCAAGACCTTCGCCCAGAAGTTCGAGCTCACCACACACCAGAGGATTCACACCGGCGAGCGGCCCTACGAGTGCAGCGAGTGTGCGAAGACCTTCTTCAAGAAGTCCAACCTCATTATCCACCAGAAGATTCACACGGGGGAGAAGCGCTACGAGTGCAGCGAGTGCGGCAAGTCCTTCATCCAGAACTCGCAGCTCATCATCCACACGCGGACTCACACCGGGGAGAAGCCCTACGAGTGCACCGAGTGCGGCAAGACCTTCAGCCAGAGGTCCACCCTGCGGCTGCACGTGCGCATCCACACCGGGGAGAAGCCCTACGAGTGCGCCGACTGCGGCAAGGCCTTCAGCAGGAAGTCCCGCCTCAGTGTCCACCAGAGGCTGCACGCAGGGGACAGACCCTGATGCTGCAGTGGCTCTTCCGGGGGAGGGGCTGGAGGGTCATGGGAGCGATGCTGGCCGGCAGTCTCCATCGAAAAGATGGGAAGATAGGACCCCGGGAGAACACAGCCTCTTGGGAAGCGAGGAGTGCACGCCACTGCACATCATGCGTACAGCTGCGGAATTTTCTCTACAGTGCTGGGGATGGACACCAGGGTCCGTGTGTGTGCTCTACCACCGAGCTGCAGCCAGCCCATAGGGAGCTTCTTAAAGTCCCTGAGAAGTAAGTAGCACAAACATGTACAGACGGTATCCTAGAGATCTTTTTTATTTTATTTTTTTTTCCGCCAGTCCTGGGGCTTGAACTCAGGGCCTGAACACTGTCCCTGAGCTGCTTTTGCTCAAGGTGAGTGTACTACCACTTGAGCCACAGTGCCACTTCTGTCTTTTTTGAGTAGTTTACTGTAGGTAAGAGTCTCATAGAGTTTCCTGCCCAGGCTGGCTTTGAACTACTGTCCTCAGATCTCAGCCTCCTAAATAGCTAGGATTGCAGGCGTGAGCCACCCGCACCCGGTTCTACCCTGGAAATTTATGTGGGAATATTCCGCAAAACACACATCATGTTTTAAATTTACGTATGTGAAGTTACTGGGAGTTTGAAACATTTGTCTTGGCAATCATTAGGGCACATCAAACAAGATTTTCCATATTAAACATGACTTTCGGTACCTTTCCCACCTGCTGTGCATTCCAAAAGGAATAAATGTAGCAAGGAGCCTGCTCCTCCTGCTCGCTTCTGTGACCATCATCACTGCACGGCCTCTCCACTAAAGAAGTGACAATTTGGCAGAGTCTCAACCTGCATCCAGGTTTGAAGATTTTTCTAGAAGATGCAAGTGTGAGGTAAGGAAGAGGAACATGATGGAGGAGGCACTATGAACTGCGTTTCTCGACTCGCACTACAAGACACGAGTGTGCAGTGTAGACAGAACGCCGCATGCGTCACGACCTTGTTCCTGACTTACAGTTGCATGTCTTACCAAAAGATTACGTAGCCCAGAAAATAAACAAAAGTATTTTTTGTGGGTTTCCCTGTTTCTTTTCATATTTTGATTGTCTTGTTTAAAAAAAAAATGGTAGAGTGCTCACAGATGTTACATTGCAGAGATATTAAAGGAAAAACTTATTTTAAGGAAACTCAGTATTGCATTTTAAATTTCTATGTGCATAACTCATTTTAGAAATGAGCAGAATCCTGCAGTTTGAAGGAGGTGTTTCGTCCTGCTTGGTGTGTGTCACTCTGTCCTGTACCATCCACACTTCACATGTGGCTGCCTAGAAATGTCCCCAGACCAAGAGAATGACATTACTGTTATTTCTGCACAGCTGAAAGATTGCCTTTGTAGACGATGTCAGAAGCACAAATTCTGCTTTTACCTGGCAGCCACAAATAGTGCATTAGTATGATGGTACCTGGCAAGCTACTGGCTTCTTACTGTCAAAGGTCATTGGCGGACTGTATGAATGGGAGCCATTTTCTGGGGACATTTTCCAGGGCAGCCACAGCCCACTGGGTCTAAGTTACAGTCTCACCTATTAAAGGAAAACAGCAGTTTCGTACACTGCTGTTGAAGTGTAAATTGTGACAGCCTCCTTAGGAAATATTGTGATTCTGTGTCAACATGAAGAACATACAGTCTTCAAACCAGGTGCGTCACTCCTGGGAATCTGTTTCTAAGAAAAAAAATAATAAAGTGCCAGTACATGAGATTTTATGTTTATCAATGTATATTGTAGTATTTTTGGTAAATACAAAAAAAAACCCAATATGAGAATAATGAACAAATTGTGGTAGAATGTATCACAGCTGAATGGTATTCTATTGCAAAGAATATAATGTGGAGAGAACTCTCCGTCAAATGGGGAGGCCCTCTGAGAATATACCATTTTTGTAAAATAAATATCTAAACTCCTATGTATCTGTATCTGATTCGTGGGCCGGGGAAACAGTACCTTCTGTGTGCCCCTCGAACTCACCTCAGCCTCTCAGACCACTCCCGCAGGCCCTCCACCAGCCCAGACCAGTGGAAGGACGGAATGGCTGGGAGAGCAAAGGCATGAGCACCCAGAGAAGCTGTCCTGGGAGCCAGACAGGAAGTGCTCCAGAGCCCTGTGACCACTGACCTCTGGAAAGGTCTGCTAAGACGGCGAAGCCTGGCAGAGAGCTACTATGAAGAACGCGGGACTGAGGTAGGGAAGGAAATGAAAGACAAGCCTCGCCCGCTGCTTTTCAGCACGCAACTTCCAGTGTCTTCCTGAACCCAGCCACAGGTAAGGGTAGGGGACGAGGGATAAGGCAGGGCGGAGGAGGAGGGAGGAACCACCAGAGGGCAGCAGTCAGCACCTCCAGCCTGTTCTCAGGGACTATGTCATCTCTCCCTCATGTCCATAGTAATGTCTTCACATGCCCAGAACTACCTATCTGAAACCCAGTGGCTGCAGGCATGGTTCAAGTGGTAGAGATCTTACCTAGCAAGTGTTCAAACCCCAGCTCTAGGAAAAGGAAAAAGACCCTGGAATTTCATTTCCTGTACTACACACACACACACACACACACACACATGAATAGTGAAAAGCCAACCCCAAACCCTATTAGCTAGGTCTCAGGCACAGTCACAGCTTGGAGGTCTCTTGGATCCCCAACATAATGAGACCCACTTTTGAAAGAAAATGCCACTATTACCCACCCCCCAATTTGAACTGTATTAAATAATTTGCACCAAAAGTGTCATGTTTTAACATATAGATACAGATGAATGTAAACTAACTAGGTAGGATAATTATTCACAGCCAGTTAACATTAGCAGCCCGCAGGGGCATGACTCATTTTCGACTGAGTTCACAATTTCCCAGAAATAAAGGGCAACAACCACAGAGGAGCTAATTTGAGAAGACGTGCATGCGCCTGATGAATCTTCAACATAGACAAACCAAAACAGATTGCTCGACACTGGTGGCTCAGCCTATAATTCTTAACTACTCGGGATACTAAGAGCCTAGAAATCACTTTGAATCCAGTGGAGCCATAGAAGTCTGTGAGATCCTGTAGGCAGGATCTCAGAGAGAGGCTGGCGGTGTAGCTCAAATGATAGAGCACCCGCCACATAAGCAAGCAAAAGGTTCATGAGACTACATCTCAACCAATAGCTGGACAAAGTTGTTCATTGCCATCACCCAGATACATAGAAGCCTAGGGGGAGAAGAGGGTCTAAGTAAGACAGCTGTGCACAAAGCTAGACTCCATTGTTAAAGCAAAAGGGAGTTGGGGTGCTGCTCAGTGGTGGAGTCCGTGCTAGCAAGGGTGAGGCTCTGAGTTTAAACTTCAATGTGAAACATAGCTAAAATATTTATTAAATATAGAGATAATAATATATTGGGGTAAATACATGAAAACATTTACCTATTTTGCCTATTTGTTCCTGGTTTGACAGTGATGGATTAGAACAAATGGGTTCTGCAGTTTTTATGTAGACCACCAGGTGGCAGTCTTAGCTCAGGACTGCCTGTGGTACCAGGCCCCAGACCCAGAGGCATGTCAGCCCTGTGTGTGTTTTAGTCTGTTTAAAAGTGGTTCTCTCCCCCTGAGCTGGGAATTAAAGGACTAAATGCTTAATGTTGGTTTTTCTTTATCTAGTGTTAGGGATAGAACACTGATAAGTGCTTTTTTTTTTTTTTTTTGGTCATAGGGCTTGAACTCTGGGCCTGGGCACTGTCCCTCAACTCTTCAGCTCAAGGCTAGTGCTCTACCAGTTGAGCCACAGTGCCATTTCCGGCATTTTCTGCTTATGTGGTGCTGAGGAATTGAACCCACGGCCTCCTGCATGCAAGGCAAGTACTCTACCACTGAGCCACCTTCCCAGCTCATTTATTTCTTTTTTTTTCTTTCTTTCTTCTTCTTCCTCTTCCTCCTCCTCCTCCTCCTCCCCTCCTCCTCCCCTCTTCCTCCTCCTCCTCCTCTTCCTCCCCTCCTCGTCCTCCTCCTCCTCCTTCTCCTTCACGCTCTACCACTTGAGCCACAGCAGGAAAGGTCCATCAAACTCTTATCTCCGATAAACCACCAGAAGGCTGGGCACTGGCGGCTCATGCCTATAGTCCTAGCTACTCAGGAGGCTGAGATCTGAGGATTGTGGTTCAAGGCCAACCCCGGGCAGTAAAGACTGTGAGACTCTTATCTCCATTAAACCACTCAGAAAACTGGAAGTGGTACTGTTGCTCAAGTGGTAGAGTGCTAGCCTTGAGCTGAAGAGCTAAGAGACAGCGCACAGGTCCAGAGTTCAAGTCCCACGACCGACAGACACACACACACACACACACACCAGAAAATGGCGCTGTGGCTCAAGTGATAGAGCCCTAGCCTTGAGCTGAAGAGCTGAGGGAAAGCACCCAGGCCCAGAGTTCAAGCCACATGATTGGAAAAAAAAAAAAAAAGCAACTAGTAAACAATCCAGTAGCCTATTAAAATGATAAGAATGATTTGTTTATGCAAGGTTGACTCAATCTGAGAAGCTCAATGTAATAATAGAATCAAGGAAGAAAATTGATCATCTCAATTAATGTAAAAGGCTCTTGGTCAGAATCCACCAGCATTTCTTGGAAAAAAGTGCTCAGGGGGCTGGGAAGGTGGCTCAGTGGTAGAGTGCTTGCCTTGCATGCATGAGGCTGTAGGTTCAATTCCTCAGCACCACATAAGCAAAAAGAAGCTGGAAGTGGCGCTGTGGCTCAAGTGGTAGAGTGTTAGCCTTGATCTGAAGAGCTGAGGGACAGTGCCCAGGCCCAGAGTTCAGGCCCCACAACTGACAAAAAATTTTTTTAAATATAAGTAAACTAAATAAATAGTGCCCAGAAGCGGGTGCTGGTGGCTCACTCCTGTATCCTAGCTACTCAGCAGACTGAGATCCCAGTTCAAAGCCAACCTGGACAGAAAAGCCCATGAGATTCTGATCTCCAATTAACCACCAAAAAGCCATAAGTGGAGCTGTGGCACTTAGTCTTGAGCAAAAAAGCTCCCAAGTCCTGAGTTCAAGCCCTAGTACTGGCACCAAACACACACACACGCACACACACACACACACACACACACACACACACACAACCAAAATCTCTTTAAACCTACAATTTAATGATCCTAAAACACAAAAACAAAATGAAGTGAGTCCCTGTTAGACGATGATAGGAACAAAATCATTATCTTAAAAATCGGGAAAGGAAAAAAAAATGCTTTCAAAATTAGTTTTTTTTTGTGGGGGGGGTCCGGTCATGGGACCTGAGCTCTGGGCCTGGGCGCTGTCCCTCAGCTCTTCAGCTCAAGGCTAGCGCTCTACCACTTGAGCCACAGCTCCACTCCTGGCTTTTTTCTTTTTGCTTATGTGGTGCTGAGGAATCGAACCCAGGGCTTCATGCATGCAAGGCAAGTGCTCTACCACTGAGCCACCTTCCCAGCCCGGCTTTCAAAATTAGTGAAGAGAAAAATCTTCAGCCTGCCTGTTCTCGGTGAGTAGTACCACTGGTATTTAAATGAGAGGTTGGGGGGGGTGGGGGCATTTGTATGGAAGAGTTTGGCAATGGATGTATTTGGGAGGACGAGTGAGAATGGAATGCTAAAATTAAGATGCCACATTTGCCATCCTTTAAAGAATTCAGTGCCCCGCTGCACAACAGCGCCCCCTGCTGGCTGTAAAAGGGTAGAAGGTGACCAAAGGCAGCCTCGGATCCAGATCCAACTCAGCCATGGCAGAAAGGACAGAAGAGGGCAGGGTAGAGTGGAGCCGCTGGCAGGTGCTGGCTTGGGGATTTCCACGCTGGACTGCTGCGTGCAAGGCGTGGGGTCTGAGGCTCACCTGGGGCTCTTGGCTGCGGGATGCTAAGGTAGAGCAGGGTGCCTGGAACGTGTGCCTGAAAGGCTGACTTGGGGCTAACTACAGAGCTTGCTGAAGGATTATTGCCTTCCAGAAAGTTCCATGGGTCAAGCTGGCTTTAGCAGGTAGGGCCTGAATTCAGGTCTGGGGTGAAGATAGGAAGCTAAGCTTCCTAGAAAAGATTCTCGGGACCTGCAGCCTGGGAGTGACTTTTTTTGGGGGGAGGGCAACGCTGGGGCTTGAACTCGGGGCCTGGGCCCTGTTCTTGAGCTCTTGCTGAAAGCTAGTGCTCTACCACTTGAGCCACAGCACCACTTCTGGCTTTTTTGTGTGTTTCATGTGGTACTGAGGAATCGAACCCAGGGCTTCATGCATGCTAGCTAGGCAAGCACTCTACCACTAAGCCACAATAGCTTGGGCCCCAGGTTTTTTGGGGCCACACCAAGAGACACAGGAAGCATTTCTGAATAGATGGATTTTATTGGAGCTTCTCGGAGCGGGGGAGCAGGAGCCACGGACTCAGTTGGCTGCCAGGATCTGCTGCACCCAGGGCATGAGCTCAGTGACCCGTGAATACACGGCGGGGGTGGAGGTGGAGCAGGTGCCGCTGCCCCAGGACACGATGCCCACCAGGGTCCAGGCCCCGTCCTTCTGACACACCAGGGGGCCGCCGGAGTCGCCCTGCGGGGAGAGGGGAGAGGACTCCTCAGGACCTAGGACATCCTGCGGCGCGCAGGGAGGGCGCGGAGCACTGACAAACGCGGGCCCAGGGACCCGACGTGGGGTCAGTGGCCAGCTCTGCCGGCTACCCTACGGGGACCTGGCCGGTGGCCCTCTCTAAGCCTGGCCGTGGTCTCTGCCCTGCGCAGCCCGGCACCAGGCTGGGACAACTGGTCTCCCTCCCCAGTGAGTGGGGAGGAGTGGGGTCAGGGCGCCCAGGCCTCTGGGGGGGCGCTGTGGAGATGACCAGGGAAGGGCCAGCTGCGGGTGGGTGGGGCACGCGACAAACCATGCAGGAAGAGACGCCACTGGCGCCTGCGCAGATCATGGAGTCCTTGATCTTGGCGCCCCAGAACTTCTTGCATTCGGCGGTGGACAGGAGGGGCAGGGTGGCCTGCTGCAGCTTTTCGGGGGTCTTGGTGGCTGCAGGGACAGAGGACAGGGTCAAGGCCCCTCTTATTCAGCCCTCCCCGCCCCCCAGTGGAGAAGAGATCAGACAATGCCTGGGGACACCCAACTGTCAGGTTCACCCCGGGCAGGGCACACTGTACCCACACCTGTCCCCGCAGCCCAGCCCCGCAGCCTCTGTGTGGAGCCGGGCCTGGGGTGGGGGGAGGTGTAAAGAGGGGGAAAGGTCCATGGAGACCAGCCTCCTCCCTCCTTCCCTTTCTGTCTCCATCTGTTAGTGAACAGAAAGCTAGAGGCCCCCTGAGAGAATGCAGATCGGGAAGAAAATGAGGCGCAAGAAGGTGAGCTGGGGGCTGGGAAGGTGGCTCAGTGGTAGAGCACTTGCCTTGCATGCTCAAGGCCCTGGGTTCGATTCCTCAGCACCACATAAGCAAAAAGAAAAAAGCCGGAAGTGGCGCTGTGGCTCAAGTGGTAGAGCGCTAGCTTTGAGCTGAAGAGCTGAGGGACAGTGCCCAGGCCCAGAGTTCAGGCCCCATGACCGGACCCAAAAAAAAAAATAAATAAAAGAAGGTGAGCTGGGCCCCACTTAGGTGCCAAATCAGACGGAGCCCCTGGGCTTAGGGGTATGCAACCCCCTGGTCCTTCCTGAGGGGGAGACTCCGCCCTGAAGCTGTGCCGTCGGAAGGCCTTCCTGTGGCGAGTCTGTCCTTAGTCACTCTCGTTTTTCTTTCTTTTTTAAATCAGAGCTGGGAATCAAGTGGTCAGCAAGTGGGCAGGGCAAGTTGACCCCCTGGTGCTGGAAGAGATGCCACTGCTCCCGGCACACGCCATCATCCCAATGGATCTGGTGGTGGACAAGTACTGTGCCACCAACTTTACATCCTGGACCTTTGGGGTTTTTTTCCCTAAGACAAAGGCTTTCTAAGTAGCCCAGGCTGGTCTAGAACTGTGATCCTTCTGCTTGTGCCTCTCTGGTATTGAGATTCAAGGCCTGGGCCATCACGCCCCATTTCATTTTTAAGAATGTTGAGATTCAGACCAGGCAGCCCAGCCCAACGACCAGCCGGGCTCGGGAAAGGCAGCCGCTGCTCACCGCTGTACTTGGTCTTTCCCCAGCCCGTGGTGACACACTGGGTCCCGGCCGGGAAATCTTCGTCCTCACTGGGCAGGCACACGGCCGACACGGTGCTGGAGAAGCGGGCGGGTGTGGCCAGCTTCAGCAGCGCGATGTCACTCTGGATGGTGAAGAAGTTGAACTTGGGGTTCTTGAAAACCTGTGGGTGAGGACCAGAGCCCCAGGTTAGGTCGTGTGTGTTTCTGGGGGCCAAGCTCCTTTCCTGAGGCCAGCCCTAGCTCCACGTGTCCCGTGCCTGCTCCCCAACTTCTGGGCTGAGAGCCTGGGTGGGGAGCAGCCCGAATACCTTTGCGATCTTCAGGACCTGGATGTCCTCCTGGTCGGAGCCCTGGTCAAATTCCCCAGCCACCACGAGGTCGGACGTCCTGGGCATCGAGACGGGGGGGGGGGGTATGTGTGAGGAGGGGGAGGGGGCCTGCTCCCCTCCCCGACCCCCACTGAGCTGCACGCGGAGCCCCCAGGCTGCCCGGGACTCACTTGACCCCACAGTGGGCAGCGGTGACCACCCAGTCCTCGCTGATCAGGGAGCCCCCGCAGAAGTGGAAGCCATTTGAGTGCTGGGGAGGAAGCAGGGGTCAGTCAATCCCCACTTAGCACCCCACGCTGACCGCCCCCCTTCCCAGGAGCTCGCCCTCACCTGCAGGGACACCTGCCAGGGCCAGGAGCCAGGGACAGCGTCCTCCCCATTGACGATCCTGGACAGGCCACTGAGCACCGGGTGGATGGCCGGCACCCCGCAGCCTGGTGGGAGGGTTGGGGTGAAGGATGGCTGTCACTCAGAACCGCCACTGCAGAATTCCCGGTCCTACCTCAGACTAGCTCAGCACCCTCCCCCCCCCCCCCGTAATGATGGGCCACTTCTTCTAGAAGCTTCCCCTGGCTTCCCTCTGCCCTCCAGACTCAAGGCCATCCCACTCACAGCCCGCAGACCCCCGTCATCCTGGGACGTGGAGAAACATGGCCGTCCCCAGCCAGGCCTGCTTCCCAGCTGGCCATTTCTAATCTTAGGAGCCGTTTGTTGTGTAAAGTCTTGGTGTCTTGTTCATTTAAAAAAACAAGACTTTGATTTCACAGCATAAAACCAATAGTGAACCAAGCGAGGCAGGTGACCTGCGCATGCCCAGGACGCTTGCTGACTCAGCAAGCTCTCCTCCCACGTGGTTTTCACAATTGGGCAGCAGGGGTGAGGGGCAGCCCCGCCACTTCCGGGGTCCCTCTCCCCTGCTCCAGGCTCCTCACTGAAAACTGGTGTTGCCAAATGGAGCATTATTTTTTATAATAGCAAAAAATAAAATAGTAGTGTATTCACACTCCAGAGCACACTCAAGCAACATGGATAACGCTAATAAGACGTGAGTGGGAAACTGCAGACATGGAGAGAAGCGTGGGTAGATGGATTTATAAATATGAAGTATATTTGTATAAACAGAGTAGAAATGACATTTAGTGAGCTCAGAACAGGGAAGAGGGCTTTTGTGCTGCGGTCCCCAGATCTCAGCCTCCTGAGTAGCTAAGATTACAGGCATGAGCCCCTGGCACCCCGCTTCATGGAGACTTTTATGCCTGGGTTGGCTTTGATCCTTAGATCTCAGCCTCCTGAGTAACTAGATTACAGGTGTGAGCCACCAGGGTCTGGCTTCTTTCCTTCTTTTAAAAAATAGAACATGGGCTGGGAAGGTGGCTCAGTGGTAGAGTGCTTAAACCACATAAGCAGAAAAAAAAAGCCGGAAGTAGCGCTGTGGCTCAAGTGGTAGAGCGCCAGCCTTGAGCTGAAGAGCTGAGGGACAGCGCCCAGGTCCAGAGTTCAGGCCCCACGACTGGACCCCCCCCCAAAAAAAATAGAACACAAGCCGAGTGCAGGTGGCTCATGCCTGTAATCCTAGTTACTCAGGAGACTGAGATCTGATGATCACAGTTCAAAGCCAGCCCTGGCAGGAAAGTCCATGAGACTCTTGTCTCAAATAAACCACTCAGAAAACCGGAAGTGGTGCTGTGGCTCAAGTGGTAGAGTGCTCATCTTGAGCTGAAGAGCTGAGGGACAGTGCCCAGGCCCAGAGTTCAAGCCCCATGACCAACAACAAAAAGAATAGAACACAAAATGCTTAGCAGGTGGTCAGCACACACACACACACACACACCACTGGATCCTGGATGAAGAGCTTGGGGAAACCTGCCCCCACTATTCTTACCCTGCCTGCAGTTCCCAACCTCAGACACTTCGGGAACCACTGACCAGGCTCTTCCATGCTCAGAGCAGGGCCTGCAGGCTCAGAAAGTCCTAGAAGGCCTCCTGTCATCTCGGGCAGCCTGTGGCAGGTGATGCCCCGGGAGGCAGGGAAAGGGGCTCAGCTCCCACTCAGGACAGGGCCCGTCGGCTCCTCTGATGGGGCCTGGCTTGGGGGGTGGGGGGTCCACAGGGCCCAGCCTCTCCCCAGATGCCAACACTCACCAAAGGCAGCCTCCACAAGGGCAAAGCAGGACAGAAGCCACAGGAATGCCATGGCGTTGTGGTCAGGGAGAATGAGTTGTACCTGCTCTGGGACCCTTTTTATGTCCCAGTGTGTCCCCCAAACCCTGCCCCATTCCTTCTGGCTCTAGCCAACCAGAAAGGCCAAGAGCCACCCTCCCTGTTCCCCAGAGGCCTTGGGAGATAAGTGGCTGCCAGGCCTAGAACACCTCAGCCCCCTGGGAAAAGAGCAGCTGCTTGGCCATACCACCAAGCGCAAACACTGGCCACACCAGCACCCCAGGGTATGGTGGGCCAGGCTGGGCCGGGCCCAGGGTTCCAGCCTGGCCCAGTCCTGCTCAGGCAGCCTTCGCTGGGGATGGGGTGGGCGACCCAGCTTCCTAGAGCCACAGGAGGGTTTTCAGCTCCCCACTGCAGGGTGCCAAGGCACCCAGCTGCTGGTGGCTAGGAGCTCCAGAATTCTTCCTGGTGTCGGCTCAGGATCACGAAGGCAGGCTGCAGGTTTTCTGTAAAAAATGGAGTCAATCTAGCCGGGCGCTGGTGGCTCACGCCTGTAATCCTAGCTACTCAGGAGGCTGAGATCTGAGGATCGCGGTTCAAAGCCAGCCCGGGCAGGAGAGACCGTGAGACTCCTATCTCCAGTAAACCACCAGAAAACCGGAAGTGGCGCTGTAGCTCAAGTGGTAGAGTGCTCGCCTTGAGCTGAAGAGCTGAGGGACAGCGCCCAGGCCAAGAGTTCAAGCCCCATGACCGACAAAAAAAAAAAAAAATGGAGTCAATCTCAAAGCAAAGGGTCGCTCAGGCACTGATGATTATCCAGAGCATTGCTGTGACTTCATACAAAGCGGGAGTTCCTTGTCCACTGGCGCTGTGACTCCAGCCACAAGCTGACGCAGAGAACGCACGCCTTCCACATTCCCTCCATCACTGCGGCCCCATGAAACAAGACGGGTGTGGGGGGTGCGCTGGCAGGAAGTGGAGGCCCAGGGAATTCTCTGCAACCTGCCCAAGGTCCCTCCACTCCTGTAGTCAGACGCTGCTCCAGGCGGAGACCCCAGCACACAGAGGGCCCCTGGCGCTGGTGACAGATGTGGACTCCAAACCAAGAGAATACGCACAATGAAGCACAGGCAGCGTATGGATAGCCACAGCAGGGTGTGCTTCTCCACTTCTCCACTAGAGGCGCTGTGAGGCCCCTGGGGCCAGGCCCTTGACAGAGAGCCACTGAAGGGGAGCCAGGTCTCCATCAAAGGCTCTGGGCTGGAAGAGGGTCCCAGAGAGCAGAGCCGAGACACTGGGCTTGTTAAAACACAACTGTTGCGTGTGGTACACATACACAATGGGATTTTACTCATCCATTAGAAAGAATAAGATCCTGTCATTTGTAGGGAAATGGATGGACCTAGAGCAGCGTTTAGTGAGGTAAGCCAAGCTCAGAGACACAGGGCGCCTGTATCCCTTAGATGTGGAGGCTAGATCTAAAATATCACTGGACCTCAACTCTGTACACAACTCAAGGCATTTGCACACGGACGAAAGGAGGGTACCAGTAGCAGAGGGACCCAAAGGTATAATTCTCCTGAACATACAAAATATTATTTAGCCAAACAAATTCCAGGATATGAAAACATGGGTTATTTTATGTTGGTGGTGGTGGTGGTGTTTGGGATGGGGGTGGGCTTTTCCCTTCCTTCCTTCCTGCCTTCCTGCCTTCCTGCCTTCCTGCCTTCCTTTCCCCACCCCTCTCTTTTTGGTCATGGGCTTGAACTCTAGGCCTGGGCACTGTCCCTCAGCCCTTTAGCTCAAAGTGAGTACTCTACCACTTGAACCACAGCAGCACTTCCAGTTTTCTGGTGGTTAATTGGAGATAAGAGTCTTAAGGACTTTCCTGCCTGTGTTGGCTTTGAATCATGATCCTCAGCTCTCAGCCTCCTTCGTAGCTAGGATTACAGATGTGCACCACTGGTGCCCTGCTTTTTGTAAGGGAGAACAAGGAGGGGTGTAGAAAGGGAGGGAGGAAGGGTGAAGAAATGCGATCATGGGGGGCTGGGAAGGTGGCTCAGTGGTAGAGCGCTTGCCTTGCATGCATGAGGCCCTGGGTTCGATTCCTCAGCACCACATAAGCAAAAAGAAAAAAGCC